TTTGATAATGATTGGAGTGCTCAATTCGTTGATTGGAATCGAAGTAGATTGCCTCTTTTTTACACGTGTTCAAGCAAGACTAGTTTGATTTGGTGGTAAATAGAGCATACACAGAGTGACTATTTTGTTTGGACTAATATTGCTTGGGTAGCTATTTTCCCCCCTACATTTTTGTTCCAGCACAAAATATAATTTTTCTAAATTCTATCAATATTATACAAGATGGCGATAAACATAAAAATTATGAATGCAAATCCAAAAATTATAAAAATTTTGATTCAAAAATTGTTGTAACATCCATACATTCTATGTTAGTTTAAATGAATCAGAAACTAAGAATCAATTTTAATCTGTATCGGCGATCGATCCGTTTCCTTTATTTTCTTTGAATACAGGGGAGAAATCTTGTACCTACTGTTTATAAAAATCGTCAGGGCTAAACAAAAAATTTATAATAAAAACATGCAAAAATAACTAAAAGCCTGTTGATATAAAAAACGATATTCCATCTTTAATATTCCTTCTAAACTTCTTGATTGGATTTTGTCACACATTTGAGTTTGGAATTTGCATTTCTTATTTAGGCGTTTTCAGCAGGTAACTAACAAACTAATTCACCTGGTGATCAAGATAAAGTATAGACACCCTGTATACGACTGAACGTGAAAAATATATGTTCAATAGAGAAATAGGAGAATACGTTTCTCGACAATAAAAAGTTTATTATTTATGATGCAAGTAAAATTAAAAATATTATTATGATGATGTTACGTGGTAGTAGAGGTTTGCATTTGCTGCGATCATTCATATTGACCAGATATTGATATGGATATGTTTAAAGCTGCCGAGCAACGCGATGACGTCATCGGTATTCCATTCCAAGCTAATGATTGATTCCTTTTATATGCACTCTCAGTATCAAGTATGCAATTTAAAAACAACGTTTGTTTATTCAATACAATGTGGAAAATCTCGTTTGCAAACAATTTAATCTCAATCAAAATCGATTCTGGATCTACATACCATTTGTTTTAGGGTATTAACAAACTATGCTACCTACGTTTAAGTTAGTAGTAAGTTAGTAGTTAGTAGTCCAGGGTTTGGACCATATACGAGTAGTAGTAAAAAACGTTTTAAATTCTTAAGGCGCAGAAAACAAAAATAAGACTGAATCATTCACACAGCTAATATAACACAGCCTTCGAGGGGAACTACTTCCCTTCGTCCTCACACAAGCACCGCAGAAAACACGAATATTAACCAATTTGATAGCCAAGGTTTCGCTGGTCCTGTAATCAGGTGGGTAATACCACTGCAGCTAAGGTATTATTGAGTATCGCCTTGTATCGAACGCGGTCGCGGATCGCGGAACAAACCAAAAACAGGTTGACCTTGGCGAGCGCAACTCCACTCCGACGAGACGCCGCGCGCCGACCCGGACCATCCGGCTCTCAACACGGACGGCGGAGTATTTATAAAGCGCTGGGGACAACAGTGGCCAGAAATAACTGGCTGGTACATAAACACAATATGGCATTCGTGTACCAAAATAAGAGAATATAGAAAATAGATGGATAGAAAATAAACGCAGTAATTTTAACTCCATGTCTAATTAAATATTTTATTCCCTGCATGTTTTTATTTACTGTTTACTGTATTTCATTCACATTGATAATTCAATGGGTTTATTAGTTAGATGAATCAGTTGGTCAATAAACTTCTTGTTATTGGTAAGATCACATTTACCTTGCTCACATCTATTATCCGTATACATATACGTATTAATACTTACCGGACTAGATAACATTCTCTACAGCTAAGCGATAATCCTAAGGAGCGAGTATGAAATCGTATACATTTCATTTAGGTTTCCTTCGAAATTAATATTTAGGGTAATTGCACATAGTGCGTTCGAATAAAGATCAGCATTCGAATATCATAGCGTACACTGGCATTTTAATTGCTTATAGAATACTCATCCGCTTTATGACGTATCGGCAACCAGGCTTAACATATTTTAATACCCTGACTATAGACCTTAAAAATCGTGACATAATCACTAGTTAGTTGGGCCTTATATGTTTAAGGAACACAGGGACAATCAATTTACTCAAATCAAGTTACTCCAAATAATGTCAGATGATTAAATAATTTAATCCTACCAAAAAGACAACAGAAATTACTTTAAATAATTGTAACGTGTTTTTGAGCTGGACATTAATCCAGTCCCTGATTGAAAATGGGTCCAACCTACATCCGGAGGGAAAGGAATGTTGACACCCACTCCCTTAGAACAAGAATGAGTGAAGATCCTACCAGGCGAGGTGGAACCAGACTCAAGGTAGTGTCTAAATATCACACAAGTAGTTATATTACTCGTACTAATGGACAAAACTGTTGCAAATACATCAAAACTTGTCAATTGATGTAAATAGGAGTTAAGAATGTATTGCAAGCTATATGAAAACCTAGATCACTGTACAAGATACACATGTTTAGCTAAGAACAATAAGGAAGTACATATTGCAGGCGTACAGCGAGTGATGTATTATCTGTGTTTACATTATCTCTCATACCTGACTGAATATCAAACAAGGAACATCATACATTAGTCAAGTACAATACAATATCAGTATCACAATAGCAGATATTGCAAGCCTATACTAAGCGATAAGAGACCATCAAACTTTTAGCAGATAATGCTGATCTGATCCATGTACAAGATACACATGTCTAACTTAGAACAATAAGGAAGTACATATTGCAGGCGTATAGCAAGTGATGTATTATCTGTGTTTACATTATCTCTCATACCTGACTGAATAGCAAACAAGGAACATCATACATTAGTCAAGTACAATACAATATCAGTATCACAATAGCAGATATTGCAAGCCTATACTAAGCGATAAGAGACCATCAAACATTTAGAGAGTACAATACAGTATAATGAAATTACAGTAGTAGCAGATGATGCTGATCTGATCCATATACTGTACAGGATACACATGTTTAGCTTAGAACAATACATAAACAACTATTGCAGGCCTAAAAGTTTGTATGTGCTAGTAGTGTTTGCATTATCTATAATACCTGATTACTTATCAAAGATTAGTCAAGTACAACACAGTATCAGTAATACAGTAGCAAACATAATGATCTATCATATCAATCTGCATGTTAGATGGTCAAATGGTGTCCATTTGATCATACTTCAATGTTATCAATGAGTATCATGTGATAAATACAATACAGTGTCAGTAATACCGTAGCAAACATAATGATCTATCATATCAATCTGCATTTTAGATGGTCAAATGGTGGCCATTTGATCATACTTCAATGTTATCAAGGATCATCATGCGATAAATACAATACAGTGTCAGTAATACCGTAGCAAACATAATGATTTATCATCAATCTGAATGTTAAGATGGTTAAATGGCGGCCATTTGATCATACTTCAATGTTATCAAGGATCATCATGCGATAAATACAATACAGTGTCAGTAATACCGTAGCAAACATAATGATTTATCATCAATCTGAATGTTAAGATGGTTAAATGGCGGCCATTTGATCATACTTCAATGTTATCAAGGACCATCATGCGATAAATACAATACAGTGTCAGTAATACAGTAGCATATTGTAGGCTTAAAAGGGGGCTCGGATATTTTTTCTGTTTCTTTTTGGCTCGGACAGCTAACTTCGCAATGCTGTTTTATTAATATTCAGGAACACGTATTTAAAAAACCATAAGAGATATATTCACGATTCTTGATAATTGGTTTATGTCTTTGTACTTAAGTTTAAAAAAAATTGAGTGTTTTGAATTTTTACGGTGTTATTTATCTATTGAAAAATATTCCGGTTAAAAAACTAATTGAATTAACTTCAAATTAATTTTTTATCTATCACAACAAAACCCTGTGTTTATCTTGTACATCTGAAAGAGTAAAACAAAACAAACAAACAAATATGAGATGTATCTTGTAGTTTTTGAGATAGCCTATGTGTTCCTAAAGATCCTAAAGATGGAAATGAAAACCACGATTAAAATTAACTTATCGTGCATTAATTACGCAGAGAAGATCAAATACACAAGGAAGGATGTAAATAGTTTGAGTCTTCGCATTATTTCTTATTCCTGTTAAACAAGTTTCTTATAATATAATAAATACCTTTGTATGTTCAATTTAGTGTTAAATCATAAGTAGGTGTTTAATAAGTGTTCGTAAAATTTCGAATACTTCACTAGATTGTTTAAAAGTCCCACCAGCAGAGCATTAGATAAAACCAATAAATTAATCGCTACACTCACGAACACCACTCGTTGCAAGAAGAGGCATAAATTGGTTTTGGGTGATTTGGTTTGGAAACAAGCCAGTCTGTGGTAATTGGCAATTAGGAGACAATGTTGAATTGTTGTATAACTTGTAACTAATTGAGGATTTTTTAGATGCACAACCAAACGATACGGAAAATGAATGAACAATGCAAAATAAAGGATAGTACATTTTTTTGTTATAATTTTTGAAAAGAACCATCATGAAAAATTCTTAAAAATAAATGGTCGTAATAAGTACAGTAGATCTTTCTAAGTTTAGGGTTCACACTTTAAATGCAGCTAGAAAAACGATACAGTAGGCCTACGACTAATTGGGTAAATACAATATAATTTATGAAAATAAAAAATACATGTCCACGCTTTATGTTTTGGCATACATTTACACATTATCCCCTAATCATATTCAGTTATGATTCAGAGAGGCGTAAATTAATGTAGTAGATAGCTTGCTTCCACATTTCCATTATGAGATAAGTTAATAATCCCCGTAAGCTTGTACACCGAGTTAGCGTTAGCATACCTCAGTAAATAAAACTGGCTGTTACAATACACCATAAGCTGACTAACCCAATAAACAAGCTCATACATGGGTATTGTGATTTACTACTATTTACGTTTATAATGCTAGTTATGGAAGTTAGCTACTTACATAGTCCTTTTAGGTTCCGGAGTGTCAAGTTTTGATCACAAATCTGAAACAATAAACATATTAATTGAAATAAATCTTGTTATAAACTACCTAATTAACACTTAAGATTTTTTGTTCATAACTTGATGTTTTAATGAGTATTTATACTAACTTCAGCAGTAAAAATAGTCAAATTGTTCCTATCTTTAATTAAATTAAACTGTAACAACTAAAAATAGCGCTTCGTTAGTAATGTATGTGATGAGTTACAGATCTTTTACAGTATATTACGTTTTATTTATACTGATTTGTCAGGCTCCTGCACATAAGTAAAAAAATCTGCAACCACATTTGAGACTTAGTTTAATAATGCCTGTTATGCGAATTGTTGAAGCAAAGCACCGCATAAAATAGCAAACGTGTTCAAACTTTACACATCAGAACAAATATGAGTGTCAGAAAAAATGTAATATGAGTAAGGATTTCCAATAAGCGAGAAACTGAGATACAAATATGCATCAAAATAGGCTGTCACTATCTAACATCTACCACAACGTTTTTGTAAACATATTGCAGTCGAAAAGTACATAAATGTTATTGTTTTGCGTATTTCTACATTACTATGGATTCGAATTTAATTTTAATGCATGTATGAGTTTTAGTAATATATTTACAGAAAATACACCGTTGATTACGATGTTGCTAAATAAATTAAAAGTTAAAATTAAAGTTCATTAGTGCATTGATTGCATATTTGGGACACGTTTTAATGATTTTAAATAGTTTAAGAGTTTAGAATGGTCCTTCGGTTATTTTAAAGTGGTACCTACTGTAATAAACTAATGCTCGACTAGATGAAGATCTTAAGTAATAGGCCTAAGTCGTAAGTGTATACACAAATCTTCAATTCCAAACATTGAAGACTAATTAAAACTACAGTTAAACCAACAAACATAACATACACGCCACAATTTTGTAATTGATTGACTTCTATAAACTACAACGCTAAAACGTGATTATCAAAAGCAGTAACAAACGACATTATTCAAGACCGAATCCAAACCCCGAGATTTTCTCATGTTCGCCGATGATCAAAGAAAATAATCAAACGAGTGAATGTAAAGAAACACTGTAAAGGGATTGAGGGGTTTAATCCAAACCGGACGGTCCGAGCCACGTGGCCACCTCTCATCAAAGTCAAAGCTCTAATTCCGGACGGTGGCGAGGGGGAGGACCAATCAGAAGTCTTGTATCGTCTACTCTACACGACGACAGCAGGCAGAGCAGCTGAGTGAGATACTAATGTACTGGACCTACAGATACTAGATAACATATAGGCCTACTTGAATACATGGAGTTGAGTGAGATACTACTGCACTGGACCTACAGATACTACATCACACGTAGGCCTACTTCAATACATGTAGTTGAGTGAAATAATGCACTGGACCTACAGATACTATACCACATAGGCCTACTTGAATACATGGAGTTGAGTGAGATACTACTGCACTGGACCTACAGATACTACATCACACGTAGGCCTACTTGAATACATGTAGCTGAGTGAGATACGAATACACTGGACCTACAGATACTGTATCACATATAAGCCTACTTGAATACATGTAGCTGGGTGAGATACTAATGCACTGGACCTACAGATACTACATCACATATAGGCCTACTTGAATACATGTAGCTGGGTGAGATACTAATGCACTGGACCTACAGATACTACATCACATATAGGCCTACTTGAATACATGTTGTTGAGTGAGATACTACTGCACTGGATCCATAGATACTACACAGACGTCTACTTAAATACATGGAGTTGAGTGAGATACTACTGCACTGGATCCATAGATACTACACAGACGTCTACTTGAATACATGGAGTTGAGTGAGATACTACTGCACTGGATCCATAGATACTACACACATATACATGAATACACGTATCTGAGTTCGATAGTGTACTAATTAACTGGACCTACAATTATACTATATCACATAGGCCTACTTGAATACATGGAGCTGAGTCAGATACTACTGCTCTGGATCTATAGATACTACACAGACGTCTACTTGAATACATGTTGTTGAGTGAAATACTACTGCTCTGGATCTATAGATACTACACAGACGTCTACTTGAATACACGTATCTGAGTGAGAAAACGCACTGGACCTACAGATACTAGTTCACATAGGCCTACTTGAATAAATGGAGCTGGGTGAGATACTACTGCACTGTACCTACAGATACTACATCACATATAGGTCTACTTGAATACATGTAGTTGAGTGAGATACTACTGCACTGGACCTACAGATACTACATCACATATAGGCCTACTTGAATACATGGAGTTGAGTAAGATATTACTTAGTAATATACTGGATCTATAGATACTACACCCATCTACACGAATACACGTATCTGAGTGAGATAATACTGCACTGGAAATACAGATAATACATCACATTTCCTTGAATCAAGTAGTAGGTCCATCTGATATTATACACAGTGGGTACTGGAATAATAGTGGATAATATAATGGTTACGAATGGAGTTTGGAACGTGGCGCTAGTGTCAGACACGAACTACGTAGTTCTCTTAGTTGCGACGGAATCAATGTATTAAAAACTCATTCCATCCACTATTGTAGATCATTGGTGGAGAAACCGAGCACCAAGTATAGTAATAAGTATGATACACAAATAACTCTAAAAAATCATAATAGCAAAAAAATGTATTTTCATAATAAGGTTTGGTTTTAAGTTAGAATAACAATCATTAAATATTGTACGTTCGTAAAAAAACATAATTAGATGTAACAAAATACATCGCTCTTTTCGGAAAACGACACACAGAACAGTACATCAATGGGTAAATAATTTTTAGTTGTAAAGTGCACGCATAGCCTAATAGGTTAAATCTTACACTTAAATATTTCTTAAAACTACCAAGCTGGTATTTTTTACCAAGCTAATTTTTACTAAGCTGGTTTTATCATCACATGTGTTAAAAGTAAACTAGTAGGTCACATGTATTGCGACAAAAACAATGCATATCTCACGGAAGGCTCCTCTGATAAACGAGCGATGTTGGAAAACATGTTTGATTGTCATTCCCATTACGTATGTTATAATACTGGAGTTGTGGTTGTTTGAGGTGTGTATTGAGGTGTATTAGCAGTGTTATTCAAATACTTTTTAACACGTTTATTTTTGGTGATTCTAGCGGATCAGAGAATTTACGAAGATAATGCTCGATTCTAAAGTTTGTCTCATAGCTGTAAAAAACATTACAACTAATTAGGGTTTAGTAGTTGTAGAGTAATATGGTTATATCGCTGGTGACTTTGTTTTATGGATTATATCTGTCGATAGAATTTGTATATATTACTTAATAGTAGTATCGTGGTTTGGACAATGCTTTAACTTGAGTTAACGGTGAAATGTTAATATCTGTGTATAGTGCCATCAATTATCATATAGGTAGGTCCATTAATGGTGCTTGGAGGCTACTTCAGTCGATGGGGACTGAAGTAATACTAGACATCTCTACTTGAGCTGGGTAGGACCGCAGACATTTAGTCCAATAATTATTACGATTTGCTTGGATGAAAGATAGTAAGATTGTCCATCTCAGAGTTTGATATGATGTCCCAGGGTTTATGGCATTTGTGATGTCTGAACTTGAGTTTTTATTGGAATGCCTGTCCCCAAATGAGGTAAGTTGAATAGTATTTCAAACTCAATTATTGTGTTTGCCACAAAGTTGTGTAGTTCTGGAGTGATTATGGATACTATTTATACTTGAGTTGAAAGTAAAGTGTATCTAACTTAGGTATGAAAAACATATTTGCCATAAAAGTAGTAAAAAAACAGGTATTATTAGTTGGTGTGGATTAAAACTATAATCGATTTGATGGTGACATCTGTATTTAAATTATTAAGGATGTATTTCACATTAAGTTTAGGGTAGGATGGATATATGAGTGCCGATGATATGGATTTACTATTGAGTATTGGAAGGATACCTCAATGTTGATAGTATGGTTGATATGCTACATTTATATTATTTGCATTGATATGACGGTAAATGTCTATACCGGAGTTGTATCATTAGATCTACCAAAGTTGAATGCATAGCCTTCACGATATTTTTATATAGGGTGTTTTTTTTTTATCGTAACCTAAATTACAAGTACCGCAAGACCTTTTTTTATGGCAAAACAAGCTCACGTGTTGGTATCCATGATTGTTAGCGTTATAGTGAACTTATCGTGAATAAGGCTCAAAGAGTTGGAATTATACATTGGAAGTAAATCAATGGTTTTATGCCAAGAAAGGTTTGAAATTAAGATTCTAGGTATGATTTCAATACCTGGAAAATCAACTAGGGCATTTATAAACTTTATTAATTAATTGTAAACATGTTTGGAACCCAGATATGTAGAAAAAGTTATAAATCTACAATACTAAATTGAGATTGCGAAAAATAACTTTGAGTCTCATGTACAATAAATCAATAACGCTAAACCTCATAGCTATTATCTAAGCATCAGTGCATATTATCTGATTGGCATTAAAGTAAAGTAAAAAGGGATACCAACATATGAGCAGGTTTTGGCGTTAAAAAGTGTCTCACGGTAGTAGTATTTATTTCGGTTTCGTTTAAAAAATCCCTTTTACTTGAGTTGATGTCCGAATGGCAGAGCAGGAGAGTTGACATTACCAGAGTCGATTGCGGGATCTTCATACTGTGTGATGGGATGTTTGTGCAGGCTCCAACACGTGTGTCAGCCATTGTCATCCTAGCGATGTACGTCAAACAAAGCCTCAACAATCGGCAGGCGATTGCTTCCAATCAATGCACAACTAGACGAGCTGCATCACAAACGAACCACTGGCACTGTAATATGTGCTACGGTTGATTAAATAGGCCATTCCGTAGCAGGTAGTAGACGAGCCGCATCACAAACTAACCACTGGTACTGTAATATGTGCTACGGTTGATTAAATAGGCCGTTCCGAAGCAGGTAGTAGACGA